ATATATGAGTGAATGATTGTTGTAGGCAAAATGATAGAAATGGAGAACACAGTGGAAAATGGCTTTTTTGCAAGACCAAAAACATGTTACATGGCTTATATTCAAGTTCCTTGATGTCTCTCAATGAGTCTCTTATTAGTGTACAAGAAGGCTCTTGACTTTTGAGTGTTGATCTTGTATCCAGCTACTCTACTGTTAAGAATCTAGTTCTTAAGTCTAGAAGTCTTTTGGCACAGTTTTTGGGATTTTCTAGATAGACTATCATGTCATCCACAAATAATGACAATTTAATGTTTTCCTTTTCTATCTTTATTCCTTTTATTTCTTTCTCTTGTCTAATTCCTGTGGCTAATGTTTCCAAAACTATATTGAACAGGAGTGGTGATAGTAGAAATCCTTGTCTTGTTTCTGAATTTAGCATGAAAGTTTTCAGTTTTTGACCATTTAGTAAGATGTTGGCTGTTGGTTTTTCATAGATGGCTTTTATCAGGTTGAGATAAAGACTATCTATTCCAGTTTTCTGTAGGGTTTTTATTCTGAATGGGTATTGGATTTTGTCAAATGCTTTTTCTGCATCCATTGAGATGATCATACAGTTTTTGTCTTGACTCTACTAATATAGCACATTACATTTATTGATTTGTGAATGTTGAACCATCCCTGCATCCCTGGGATAAATCCCACTTGGTCAGGGTGTATGATCTTCTTCATGATCCTCTGTATTCTGTTTGCCAATATCTTACTGAGGGTTTTTGCATCTATGATCGTTAGGGAGATTGTCCTATAGTTCACTGTTTTGGTTGGGTCTCTCTGCTTTTGGAATCAAGGTAATGCTTACCAGAAATGAATTTGGGAGTATTGCTTCCCTTTCAATTTCATTAAAGAGTTTGAGAAGCAGTGGCATTAGATCTTCCCTAAATTTCTTGTAGAATTTAGCAGTAAAGCCATCAGAACCTGGGCTTTTCTTTTTCAGTAAGTTTTAATTGTATTTTCAATTTCATTGATTGATATTGGGTTGTTTAGAATTTTTATATCTTCTTGGATCAACTTTCATAATTCATATGTATCTTGGAATCTGTTAATTTCTTCTGTGTTTTCCATCTTATCAGTACAGATTCTCCAAATAGGTATTGATTGTCTGGATTCTGCTGGATCTGTTGTAATTTCACCCTTTTCGTTCCAAACTGCATGGCTTTGAGCCTTTTCTTTCCTTTTTTTTTTTTTAATAAGGTTGGCTAAGGGTTTGTCTATTTTTTCTTTGGAAGAATCAACTCTTTCATTGATTTTTTTTTGTATCATTCTCTTAGTCTTCATTGCACTGATTTTTGCCCTGATCTTTATAATTTATTCCCTTAGATGAGCTTTGGATTTGTCTTGCTTTTCTCTTTCTAGGATCTTGAGGATAAACATTAGGTTGTTTATTTGAGCCTACTCAGTTTTCCAAATATGGGCATTCACTGCTATGAATTTTCCTCATAGTACTGATTTCATTATGTCCCATACATTCCAGTATGTTGTATTGGCATTATCATTTAATTGTAGAAACTGTCTAATTTCTTCTTTAATTTCTTCTGTGACCCATTGGTTCTTCAAGATGGTGTTATTCAATTTCATGTGTTTATGAAGCTTTTGTGGTTCCTTTTGCTATTGATCTCCAGTTTCATTAGAGGATGACTTCAATTCCTTTTTATTTATGTTAGCATGATCTATGAGGAAGCACATGGTCTATTTTGGAGAATGGCCCATGTGCAGCTCAGAAGAATGTGTATTCTGATTTTGTGTAGTGGAACACTCTGTAGACATCTATTCATTTGTCCAAAAGTTGTTGAGTTTTGGTATTTCATTGTTGATTTTTTTGTCTAGGTCATCTATTTGTGACAATAGGGTGTTGAGGTCCCCCACTACTATTAGTGCTTGTTAGGTTGTTCATGTCCATCCATTAATATTTTTAATAATGTTGGGTGCACTAATATTTGATATATATATATATATATATTTATGATTGGCATCTCTTCCTCTTAGATTGTTCTCTTTATAGGGATAGATATAGTGACCTTCTTTGTCTTTGTTTTGGTTTGAAATCTACTTTGTCTGCAAATATGATGGCTACCCCTGCTTTATTCAGATTCCTGTCACATGGAGTAAGTTTTCCATTCTCTTACTTTCAGTCTATGGAGTTCTTTTTTAATTAAGTGAGTTTCTTATATGCAGCATATTGTATCTTGGTCCTTCACCCAGTCTGCCAGTTTATTTCTTTTGATTGGTGAACTGAGGCCATTAAAATTGATGGATATAACTTATATGTATTGACCTATCCTTATCATGATATTTTCCTGTTATTACCCCTTTTATTTTTCATTTAAAACATTTTCCCCCTTTCTATTTAATTTCTTACTTTGATAGCTTTGTTCTTTTGGGCTTCACGAAGTTGTCTTTTTCTAAGATATTGTTTAGAATATTTTGGAGTGCTGGTTTGGTGGTCATGAAGTTCCTCAGATGCTCTTTGTTGTGAAAGTATCTCATTCTCCTTCTATATTGAAATATAATTTTGTAGGATACATCAATTTGAGTCAAAGATTGTTTCTTTTAGGGCTTGAAATTCTTCAGGCTTTCCTTGACTTGAGGTTTGGTGTTGAGAAGTCAGCTGTGATTCTGATGGACTTTCCTTTGTATATGATTTATTTCTTTCCTCTAGCTGCTTTTAATATTGTTCTTCTGTTGAGTTTGTGGAATCTTGACTTTATATGTCTAGGTAATTTTTATCATGTATAGTTGGAACCTATATGCCTCACTTATCTCTATGTGAAATTCTTTTCCTATGCTTGGAAAGTTTTCTGTCATTACTTCTGTGGAAATATTTTTAATGTAATTTGCCCTATCTCCTGCTTTTTCATTGACTCTGATCAGTCTTATGTTATTCTTTGCATCATATAGCAGCTACTGTATTGATTTCTTATGGTCCCTTGCTATTTTTAAGAACTC